ATGCGCAAGGTAAGTTTCTGATCATTAGAAGTGAGATGTATGAGAAAAAGTAGATTTTGAAATAGTGGGAGCTGTAATAACTTCGATCGCAGTGAATCCATATGATCCAACGGATGTGAGAGTTATTAAAACCATGGTGCACTATTTTGGAAGAACATTTCCATGATTGACGAATATTTCTTCTGTTTTATTCATTACTAGCGTACTTTGCACACAACGAACAAATGAAAATTATGTCTTATGAAGATATTAAGTCTGGATTTCGAAGTAGTAGGGAGTTCGAATACCTAGATGAAGTTGCAACATTACGCTTTTACATCAAAACCTACCGAATGTAAAAATGGAAGCTAATGAAAGCAACATGGCTATCGGCGGTGCGGAGACAACCTCAGAAGCCTGGAAGGGGCAGATATCAGCTGCAGCAGCAGCAGCAGCAGCAACGCGACAAGGGTAGCGTTGTCAGAGCCAGCGACATCGGCTCGGAACCTCGCGGAGGCGGGGCGGGACGGCGGTGTTTCGGAGGGGTGGCGTTGGCAGCGAGGCTGCTGTTGCCGCTGGCGGAGACAGCCTTCGGGAGGAGGCGGCGGTGGCGGCGCCGTCGTCCACAAATCAAGATTGGCGGCGGTAACGCGGACCGGCTGGCTGCCACTGCGCCAGCGAGCCGAGCGCACAGTGAACGCTACAGTGGCCGCATGCGCAACCGGACACCGCCGCGCGAGAGCGCCTGGCCCGCTCAGACGCTAACGCGATCCACGTGCGCTCGCCGCCGCCGCCGTGGGAGTCGCCAGCGTCCGGCGCCGATCTGCCTCACTTTCCACGTGCGCAGTGGCATTCGGGAGGCGAAAACTGTCGTGCGGATTTATTTTCGTTATACCTTGATCTGTTCTCATGTAGCCAATTTATTATTATTATTATTATTATTATTATTATTATTATTATTATTGGCATTATATTCCAAGCTTTTCTTCGTTTTAAATATCGACGATGATAATGACGATGAAAGAATTTACCTGTGTTTCGACAGGTAGAGAGTACAGAACTCGAAGGAAACCTGTCGAAAATTCGTTTCTTCCATCGCAAATTTCATGCTTGTTTTAGATAAGCAACCCTCTTATTTACAATCAAAGGAAGGAAACGTTTACCGCATTGATCTGTTAAATTGTTTCCGATATTGTCTGACGGATTTGTTTCCCTTGAATTACCCAGCAATTACTTTATTATCAATCTACTGAATTTCTTCGATGTTTTATTTAATTATTTTCTACGCAATTTGCCCTATTTACGAACCGAGCTGGATCCGTCATGATGATTTATTTTTATGTTGTGGGATAGACCGTCTCTACAGATTCTTGGTGCTGAAAATTTACGTTATAATACTTACTCTTCTTTATATTCAGGAGTTGGGAATTTTCCGTACCATTACTAATGAAAATAACACCTGTTTCAAACATTACATGAAAATTTTAATTCCTGTTCTTCAGATGGAATAAATAAATAACGCGTACATAACATTTCGTATAACAATCTGAAAAATGATAACAATAAGGACCCTGTTGTTATTTAATGTTTTCCCATTATTCCTCCCCTCGCATGCATGGTGATTACCTCTTTTTGATCTCAACTGAAAATTTACTAATTTATTACAAAACTTGGTCCTCGTGCATTTTTTAAAATTTCTATGTCTCTAGTAAGAACTTGCCTCTTCGGTCACGAACGCTGGGGACTCGACGTTCTCGCGTCTATTTAAATTTCTATTTCAACCCAGTCCAATTGCAATCATGGCAACTCCTTTTCACACGCAGTCTTATGTCCCGTTTCACTTACTACATTTTTACCAATTAATAATTTACACCACGGAATTGTTTACAAAATCTGAGAACACTCCCTCAATAATTGATCATCACAGAGTCGTAACACGTTCTGCCCTCGAATTCCCACCGCCCTAGAATACGTTCATTTATTTGTAACACGCGATCTTCTTTTCCTGGTCTGCTCATTTCGAATTCTGTAATGACCCATTACAATTGGTTCACGTTTTTTCTTGGATTTTCATCAGGATTCTGAACGATTTCTGGTGCAGTATTGCTTTGCCTTTTCCCTTTCCCATTACCTTTCCAAAGATGTAAAACATTCATAATATGCTGAAATGGTGGCTATATTTGAATTAAAAGAATATATTCCCTACACTGTCGATCGTTAACTTTGTGACAGGTTCTTCATTTTAAGATGTATATTCATAATTCAGAACTGATTTTATGATATTTGCGATGTGTGGTCTGAATTTTGCCACAGTATTTTGTTCTTGCGAAACTTTATTTTTTTCCATTGATTTGGAAAATCATATACATTTGCTAATCAGAGCTACTTAACCATTCTCTGAACGCAATTACAGAAAGACTATGTCTTCATTTGATTCCTGTAAAATAATTCAAATTCATTTGTGAAATTAAATATAATTAATATTGTCGAATTGTGGCTATTTCTCGTTGCCTACAGGTTTCTACGAGTTTTCTTATCGTGGATGTTCGAAGAATTCTATACTTACTTTCATGAACTGTCTGACGATCAGAGTAAGCATAACGTTTGAGCCTACAGTAGTGGATATGATTAAGAGAATGCTTATGGGTCTTGTTTTATTGTTTGGTGATTAGCATGCTTTATTGATTATTTGCGCTGATGATTTAATATGATACATTAGATATCTCTCATTGAAATGCAATCCAATTTCCAAAGAAATTTGTCAGGCTCACTATTCATGCTGTCATGACATTCCAGAGCCAGCCCATTTCTTAAATCATAGTGAAATATTCGTTAGAACTTCTAAAAACAGTATTTGTGTGAAGTACAGTAAATTATGAAAATGAAATGGTAAACATTGTTGCTATGCTGGTACTGCTACCTAACTACAAGGGTTAATAGCGAGCAGTTCTAAGTATTGCAAGTTTGATGCGCCTGACTGTTTTTATTGCACTTCTGTGCTTCTGAAGTCGTAACTACATTCGAGCATACGTATGCCCTTTATCAGAATGATTATTTACACTGGCTTCTACGTATGAGTACGCACAGTTTCACTCGCAGCCACGCGTGTCACGGGCTGTGAGGATGTATTCAGACAGCATCCCTCTTGAAAAAGAAATGGATGAGATGTGAAAAAAGTGACTAAGCAGCTTACAATGAACTTCTGTACTCTTGAAGACGTTGTTGCCTTTCAGAAATAAGTCATTCTCTTGGGATTGAAAAGAATACGAGGAAACTTCTAATATTTGTCTGCTAATAAAAAATTAATTCATTCATTCGAGACGACATTTTGCAAGCTCTTAAAAATATTGTCACAAGCTTTACTTCGGAGCGATATTCTGCAAGAACTCGTAAAATTTCTTGCGAAGAGAACTGTACGTAGTTGAAATTAGATTAACAAATACTACTCCTCCTTCCAAAACTTGATCAGTTTTATCTATCGAATAAAGCGTTGAGATTTTTAACTGAGAGGAAAATATTTTTGACAAATAAATTTTAATGATAAAGTGACTTTCTAATAGTTACGTCACCTGATATTTTTCAATACCCCAAGTGAGAACCTTCAGAACTTTCCCTTTTCAACTGTTGTTATAGTCAATAATTTTGGGATTCAAAATTTAAATTGCATGATATTGCTTACGGGTTCTCGATATTTTTATCTGCTGATTTAAAAGAGAACTGTTTTGTTTTCCTTTCTGTATTTTCATGCAACTTTAGAATTCCAGCCTTTTGATGTGAAATTAATTTCATATTGTCAAATTCCTTCAAAAATTTGGTCTAGTGTGCACTCTAATGAGCTAACAATTCTAGATTTGGAATGTTTTACTATTATAAGTTGAGAATTGACTCCAAAGATACCCAGGCATGGTATGCATTTTTAAATATTTGAAAATAATATTTTCAGAGGCAATTAATCATTGTTTAGATACCTCTCAGTTATCAACTTCTGTTTCTCTTCAAATCTCGTAATCTCCTTTTTTACAGTTTGGCCAGTTTCAGCGTAATGAGCTTGTGCGTAATTTTGTTCTCTTTTTGAATTTACTTTCATAAAAATTACCTATACCTTTCTAAAAAATAATCCACTAAACCACGTCATAAAGTTTTGAGAAAGGGAGGTGTCTACAATATATTCATAATACTTAATTTTACGTGTGTTTAGTTTTGAGCATTGTGCAATTGACGACACAGTGGATCTCCAAAACCTCCAAATAATGCAACGACGATCGACATGAAGTCGTCGAAATCGAAAATATATTTACCACAGGAGATAATATATCATCTACGTCTCAGTTTACTCGTCTGTGAAACAGTTGATATATTATATTAACGGTTTCACAGACGAGTAAATTGAGACACGAACATTCATTCTGAAAATAAATGTTTCTTGTCTGGCAGCAAATGTTGTGTTCCTGATTTCCTATCTGTTGTAAGGATTTAAATCAGCATTAGGTGTTAGTTTCGTATTTCACAGATAACAATTCAAGGGGTCAGTGAGAGAAAGTCGTAACTTGAAAGTCTTGTCGGTTTCTTTCAGATTGACCCTACGACTCTGAGCCTCCCTATTCCAATCCGGTAATCTAAATTTCCATTTGCGGGCCATTTGCCATGATAACACATCTATTAATCTCTGTGTGTTCACCCAACATTAGGAGAATTGTTTAATAAAAATGTCTATATAAAATGATTCTTTTATAAATAAAATTATTAATATTACAATAGAAAATAATAATTTAAATCAACTTTATAACTATCAAACTTCCTCCTAACAATTATTACAATTATTTATCTTCTAATAAACTAGTTATTATTGTAAAAATTACTTCCCTTCAAGAAGGATCTTTACGACATTCTACATGTATGCTACGAACTTCCGTAAATGTGTGTGGCATATAATTCTTTCTCATTGAACCCATGAATGAGTGTGCCATTTCTAAGTGGTTGTTCGTTCTCTGTGTGGAGTGGTGGTGGGGGTGGGTGCGTACCTGCACGCGCGCTTCGCTGAGGGCGACGCGGCGCGCCAGCTCCTCGCGCACGAAGGCGTCCGGGTAGTGCGTGCGCTCGAACACGCGCTCCAAGGCGGCCAGCTGCGCCGCGCTGAACGTGGTGCGGTTGCGCCGAGGCTTCTTCGCGCCGCCCCCGCCTCCGCTGCCTCCGCGCCGGCCACCGCCGCCGCCGCCGCCACCGCTCCCGCCGCCGTCGTCGCCTCCGCCGCAATCCTCCTCTGCAACACACCCAGCAGTTACACTGGTTAATTGATGGATGTTTCCGGCTACGTCCACTGCTACCGTTAGTGTAGTGAATGTTTTAGTTGACGTTGTTCCTCCACCGCTCGATGGGTGAGATTCTGCTCCGACCTACAGGTCTGTTTGTTAGCTATTTCCCTCTCCAGGTATCTCCCGCAGTGAGTCACCGCTCCAGCCGATAAAAACTCTAATCTTTCGACTATTCTCCCGATATGTGTGGTAGTGCATGTGTGTAGTAATGAATGTAAGTGTGTGTAATGTGGAAAAGAGAGCGCAAGGAAAAGGGAGGAAAAATCGCGCGTAGTCCGAGCCCCGTTTGTTATTTCCGGTATTCATCTAGTATTGATCGGAGGAACCACAAAAAAACTACCGATCAGAGTAGCATGAACTAGAATTTTCCCCCCGGCAGCAACTGAATTCGACCTAGCCACATAGTTAGTGTCGAAAATTTGCATTGTCGGGACTCCTGAACCTTTCTGTCAGATTCTCTGCAGAGACATCAGCGATACGATTTTCGGAGCTAAACTGAGTCGGTACATACATTAAATGTGTCTCTTGATGGGTGACAGTGGTTGGACTTGGTTCCATAAAATTCAGAGGCAACACATGTTGAGTTTATTATGAAAGCAAAACTACAAATAAAAATTATTACATACGATATAGGTCCATACCCACTTTTGTTTTCATTTAGTGGTTGGAGAGAGGGAGTCATTTGCATTGATCATTACACAACGGCACCTTGGTTGGGAAATTATTTTGGCAAGTGTCGGCAAAGGCAAAAGTCGCAAAGACAACTTCTAGAAATCATTCATTATATTGCGTCCCTTGCAGTACATACTGAAGGCACGTCTTATCAGGAAGAGTCAACATGGTACAAATGAACAATTGAAGAATATATTGGATGTTAGGTTCTGTCATGAGCTTGTGGCGGAAGCGGTTCCGCATGACCTTCTTAGCGCGCGGTCGGGGAGAGGACTATTTCATCCTTCCCAATCGAAATACACAGTCTGTCCATCGCTCCTCTGAGAAAGACCAAGAGTTGCGTATTCCCCGTACGTCTCGATAAGATTCACGATACGACACTTCGTTAGCGCACACATTCGGGATTCACGGCAGTTTTACCCGTCCCGTTTCACCCGCAGCGTACTTAAGAGTGTCTGTCACCGCTACCGGGTGAGGGGAGGTAGAATGTCATGAACGAAAATGCTGACTCCTGATTTTCGGTTGGATACGTGATGGTGGTTGCCATATTCTGAAAGTCTGGACGCGAAATCCTTTTCTGTTCTTTATGAGCCAGGCCAGAAGAAAGGCGAGCGATGGATGATACTGAATGGAGGAGGAATGGAAGACGCAGCCATAATTATCAGCCGATGAGGTAAAAACGCGAGTCGCGATAGAATAGGGCAGGTAAATCTGAGCGTTTGTGGGCGTCTTTATGATATGCTCATATATGTGAAACTAATGATTGGTCGGACAAAATTGTCTCTTGTCCCGAGCGGCGACATGTGACCTTTTTAGAGACGCATGTATAGAGCGATATTTATAAGAATAGGACGTTTTGACAGCTAGTGCTGGCAACACAAACTTCTGAGGTCGTTATGTCCTTGAGCCTATTAGACTCTCCTTCCTCCATTCGTTCGTTTGCAGTTGGCTAACTTGTAAATGGCTTCGACTCTTCCTTTTGCAATGTCCTCGTCCGACGAAAATATAGTGCGCCACGAGAAATAATTGAAATTTAAAGTGCGGAGCTATGTGCTCTTCTGTAAAAATTATTTTTTGTAAACATTAAGTTGACTTTAGTTTTTGTGTGATAAGTATTATGTTTGTTTTAAAATGGAGTCTTGGATGAGAGATGTTTACTGGTGACGGTGCACATGTCTCCAGCGTTGTAAGGTGACGAGCTTTGTTCGTGAGAGTTTCGTGATTCCGTGCTTTGCTTTTTATATTTATTATATAAAAAATAGCGTCAACTGTTTAAATGTTTTAATTGATGAGAGTGAATATAAAGAATATGCTTAATATTAATCCAAGAAATAAGAGATGAAAATAGACATACTAGATAGGTTAAGGAATACATTGACGTGCAGCACGAACAAATCAATACAACAAGTCACATTGACTTTTGAGAGCATAGTACTAAGTTTTGAGAGTCGAGGTGAAATAATTCTAAATAAACCACTCTCTTCACTACACACGTGCCCATCGCTGTGAAACGATTAGAAAAGGTATTTGAATGTCCCCCGAAACATCATTTTTCTTTCTAACTACATTCGTGGCAATTTTCTTTTACTGAATATGAGAGTATATTTAAACAGATTTCCACATACGTAATTAAATTTCAATATTTTCCCGGACTCGCGTACGTGCATATACCTCAGCGAAACTATTAGATTTCTGTATACTGATGACTTTAATGGAGCCGTAATCACTACGAAGGGGCGTGTCTGAACAGCTGCCGCGGAGAGATACGTCTCTGAAGTACACGTGACGTTCACTTGTTTAGCGAACTGTCCCTTTGACTCATTCTTATAAAATCGCTCTATACGTTCGGGATAGATGACTTTTATTCGTACCGATTTATTCGTTCTGGGAAACGCGAGGAACTGCAATCATTCGCCGAGAAAAATATCTCGGAGAAAATCCTTCTACTCCTGATTTTCAGAAACAGCTTTGTGATTGGCTACATTATCAATGTATCCATAAACCTGTTAAAAGTAGAATTTTGTTACACTTGTGAATATAAATGTTGTTCCGTTGCATGGGGTGCGAAGAACCCTTACGGGTACTATCTGCATTCATAGACGACTCCGAGATTGGCACCATTAAATATGCGATGCGCAAATTCCCCATTCGGGTAGAACTTTTACATATGGATCTCTTTACGTTTCAAAATAATTGCCAGAAGAAATGAGATCAATAAACTAACCCGTATTTGTCCATTAGCCCAATGAGTGAATCTTCAAGGGGATGCAAATTACAATTGAAATCCAGTTATAACAGCCATGATACTACCTCTTGTAAGTAGTAGTAAGTACTGGAATACTACCCATTCATTTATTTTAAAAGAAGTTCAAGCATGCCAATCCGTCTGGCCAAACAAAGGACTAATTTACAAGAACGCCAACGCCACACTACTTCGTGTTACTCAGTAAAGAGTGACTCTTTTCTGCCGTACAATAACAACACTAGTGTTTTCTTCAAAATAGGAGAGACTCTTCATAATTGCATAACTATTTATTGATGAATTATATTGTTCGAAAACATTTTGTGCTTTGCTTGTTGTGAGATGAGTCAGGAAGCATACTACTAAATATTTAGAATGACGTGTGAATCTAAAACCACAATACACGTGTCTATTGTGAAACACTTTCTAAGCTTCACTGTACCACCCAAACAGTTGATTGGTAATGCCCAGATAAGGAATTGAAGTTTCATGAAACCTCGCAAGGCCGCACGAAGAAAAACAATTGCCAAATCAAGCGGAAATATTTGAGCACCCCCTTACAAAAATGTAGTACTGACCTCGTGATCTGCGATTACCATATTTTCAGTCACTTCTTGATGTGGTGTGTATCTTAACAATTGTGGATTTATTGCAAAAATTGTTTGCAAATATTTTATTTTATATATTGGCTGGCGGTGCCAAAAATCTACTACAATTTGAATGTAGGCTATCTTTAGCTGCCAATTTTGTTCAGGTTGCAGGTTTTTGTACTTAAGACATTGAGTGAGATTAGATCAGCGATCTCGAAATTCACTTTGCTTAACCGATAAATCGTTGTGTTCATTTCACTGAGATCCACTGAAAACCTCTCCAACAACGAAATAGGAACATTCATGGAAATATGACTTTCATTTCCCTATAAATTATTGCTGTGGCGATCGAAATAATTTTTTTAGTGGTGTTTTAACTTCCGTAACCATTCTTTAATTGTAGTCGCAATTTACTGTAAGAAATGTAGCGAATATTTTGAAGAACTCTACTAATTTTTAATCTGCTTTGCATTCACAGTATTTACATGCGTGCAAGTGCAAACATTTTTATGTATTAATATTCTTTTAAACTATACGGTCATAAGCGATCACAAGCATCACAATTATACCATTTACACAAAACATAATGTTACAATTTCCATTGTACAATTACCTATAATTCAATTTATACATGTAGCAATATATTGGAAATGGATGTTAATTCCCTTCTTTATTTTCTATTTTGGATTCTACTTTACTTTAGACAATGTACACAGAACTTTTGAAATCAGAAATGACTAGGATCAGATGTTATACTGATCGTGTTAAATGGGCGAATAAGAGCATTTGCGTATTTATGAAGCAAGTTTTGATAGTTGTAGCACTATTTCTACATACTCCTGGAGAGAATAAGTATTTATATGAATTATCATTTACATTTAGTTAGAGACTGCCGTTGCTAGAAAATTTCAGAACATTGTAGGATTATGGGAGATATAATTAATTATTTTTATTGTGAATAGAATTTAATAAACTTAATTATTAAGTATTATGCGTGCATGATAATATTCGTTGAGGAGAAAAAATTACACTCCAAATTTTATATCTCTGCGAAAAACGAGAAAAGTTCATTTAATGTTTTACGTTGCAATGAACAGTTAATGTCGAAAGCAGACTTTGGACTTTGAACTTTGCCCTTTCTGAAGTAAAATGTAGTGCGTTGTTAGGAAAGTCCGACATGGCGAAAGCCAACAGAATAAAGCGGCGTTCCGAAACTTCATTGCTGTCTTGAACTGGAGAGGTAGGAGAAACAGAATGCAAGCAATCGATTTCGCGTGTTTAAAAAAAATAAGAGGAAATATGTGCCACATTATTTATGAATCGTGAGAAAACTGAAATCAAACGTCTGCGTAGGCTTTTGGGTCGAACTACCGG